AGGTTTGGAAAAGGACAAAGTACTCTGATTGTCAGAGCAAACAGCCTGGTCATATGGAAAACTGTGCTGCTGTTAATATTTATCAGAGGTCGTTTTTTAAAAGAGCCAGTGAGAGGAAGGTCAGGCGGCATGGAAATTGATCAGTCTTTAGTTCCCCACTGAGCTAACTGAAAGGCAATGCAGGATAGTGGTTAGAATGTTGGGCTGGGCCCTCATAGATCCATATTCTAGTCCCCATTTTAACCATGAAGCTCACTGGGTGACTTTAGGCCACTCTCAGCTTAATCTCCCTGACAGGGTTGTTGTGAGGATAAAATGGAAAGGAAGGAACCCCTGCAAGCCGTCTTGAATTCCTGGCAAGAGCAAGAAAGGTGGGGTATAGATGTAACAACAGCAGGAGCAATTAGCACGAATCACAAAGATGGCATATCAACATTATCATATTTATATCCTGCCTTTTTCATTTTCAAGAGACCCAAGGCAGCTTACATACTTCTCCTCCTCTCCATCTTATCCTTACAACAACAACCCTGTGAGGTAGGTTGAGCTGAGAGCCTGTGACTGGCCCAAAGTCACCCAGTGAGCTCCATGGCTGAGGGGCGACTAGAACCCAGATTACCTGATTCCCAGTCCCATGTCTTAACCACTACACCACACTGTACGGACATAAGACCGTCCAAAGGGCCACCATGCAAGACCAGACCATTGCTCTTTTGTCCAGTGTTCAGTTCACACAGTGTCCAGTCTGATGTCCCATCCGGAAGACTCAAAAGCAAATTTGGCAACTGGTAAGCAGGGGAATACCGCCTCTGACACTGGAGGTAAAAGACAGGCATCATGACTAAGCTTGGAGGAAATATTTCCATTGCTCACCATTGAGAGTGAAAAGGAGAGCCCCCTCAAGACGCAGTTAATTGGGGCACCACATCGGATCAGCAAAAAGGACCCCTCTTTGCCTGTGTTCATTAGATGGCCCTCAGCCACACATGTGGGTGCAATGGGGAAGGTTAGGCAAAGAAAACGCTGTGTGTGCACACGCATGTGTGTGTACACACACATGCTGGTGACACTAGTAGCCACTGATAGCCTTATCCTTCCTGATGAGTAACAAGTTGAATGAATGAGTTGAAACCCTGTGATTTGTACTCAGTGTGTAAAGGAAGTGTACTGGTGACAGCAGAACAGAAGTTGAAGGCAGGACAATAAAAGGAAGACCCAACGGGAGATGAATTGGCTCTACAAAAGCACAGCTTTGCATTCACAGGAGGTAGGATGTTTTGGAGAGCTTTAATTCACGGGGTTGCCACAAGTTGAAGACAACTTGACAGCACAGAACAAGAATAGAATTGCTCTGTGACTTGTATTGCAATAAGTTACTACTGAACAATGATGCACTGGATTGCTCTCAAGCCTAAGGCAGGCCATCAGGCCACGTGCTCGGGCTTTGATGTCACTCCAGCCACAGTCAGAGGAATTTACTTCTCAGTTAGCATGTGCAGAACAGCACTGGATTATTTTTTTGGTAGGATCAGGCAAGCGAAGCATCCCACTGATCTGATTTGGCTTATAGGAGTCCATGGCATTCATTTGTTGCTGTGTTACTGTGATATGGGTAGGCTGGAGGATCCCCCAGAATGAAGCTGGGAAAACTTCCAAGAGCAAATCTCTCCTGTGCACAGATCCTAGATTGAGACGCTTGCCTCTCCCTTCCACCCCCATGTCTGGAAGCACACACATAACTGCTCAGAGAGCTTTGGCTAATGGGTATTATCAGAATCAATAAAAGAGTATTTGTCACGTTTCTATCCCACCTTTCTTCCAAGGAACTTAAGGTTGTGTACTTCTTTTTCTCCTCACACAGACCAGGTGAAATAGATTAGGCCGAGAGTCAGGTGCTGAGAGTTGATGAGCTTCATGGGTGAACGGGGATTTGCATGCAGGTTCTCCCTGTTCCATTTCAGCTCCCACACTGCACTAGCTTTCATGGTGAGCTGGCATAGCTGATTCGGTTAAAATGCCAGACGACTGAGGCCAGAGACCACGAGGGCAACAGAGAAGAGGAAAAGGCCCAGTGAAGCATAGAGTCACAACAATGCCAATACATGCACAGCTTAAATGCCTATGAGACACGACGCCATCATGCTTCCATCCTGACATGTTCTATGTTTACTTAAAAGTAGAAGCCCCAGTGACAGTGCTGGCTCCAGGTTTCTGAAGTCCTTTTGGAACAGCACCTTTGGTGGATCGCTCCCGCAGTGAATCTACCTTCTCACTAACATGGTCCCCACCTACAATCGCTCCTTGTCTTTGTTGTCATCATTTCCGCCACTTGCTGGTTTGATGAGCAAAGAGCCAGTGACCAAGTAGGTCATGGCATCTTCAGCTCCTCATTCTCAACCCCAATGTTTAAATCTTTCACGCCGAGATGCACCAGGTTTTAATATTTTTACTTGTATAATTGTTATATTTATGTATTTTTTGTTGTGAGCCGCCCCGAGGCTTTGTTGCGATGGGGGCGGCATAAACATGTTTTAAATAAATGAATGAATGAATGAATGAATGAATGAATGAATGAATGAATGAATGAATGAATGTTGTCTGGGCCAGAAGAGAGGCACGTGAAGAGCGGGAGCAGGCAGAGGAGGGGGCTGTCCGGGGGCCCTGCTGGGGCGTGGATCCTTGGCCAGCACCCAGTCAGGCCTGCCCTTGACACCACCCGCTGAGTTCAGTGGAAATTACATTCAAGCTGACTGCAGTCTAGCAGCTCTTCATAAAAGAACTGAGCACTGCCTACAGAAAAGGCTCATCAAACGTAGGAGTCCGAGAATGTGCTGGGGAAGCAATTTCTTGATCTTAATAGGCGCTTTCCAAATCAAGATTGCTGTATCTCCTTTGTGTACCAAAGGGGCAGGTCTGTTTCTCTTGGGCGCAGTCCAGTATCTCTTAGTGATCCACCTCTTACTGTCCCAAAGGGGTGCGGGAGAACTGGCAAAAGAGTCCCGGCAGACCTGCATGGTTTAGCAAGAAAGGGCAAAATATGCTTCAGGCAAATTTAGCCAGTGCTCTTCATTGACTCAGGAATTATACTGTTGATTCTGTGCTGGAACGCAAGCTTCACTGAATTCAACAGGGCTTAAGTTATTTTCAGTTAAGCAGGTACCATATTATAGAAATGGTACGCCTGGGAGACTAAGCACAGGGGGGGCTCCTTTCCAGGCAGAAGTCCTAAGTAAAGCCAGGGCCTTCTCTGTGGTGACTCACCAGCTGTAGTGCTCTGTTTTGGAAGATGCTCTCACAATTCTGCTCCTCCTCCCTTTAGATGGACTCTGAAGACCTTTCAGCTCCACAAGGCTTTTAAGGAGTAATGTTTTGCTCTTGTCTCTTTCATCCTGACGTGCTTTTAACTGTTTGGCACTGCTTTTAACACCTTGTGTTGTCGTTGTCATCTTGTATTGCACACAGCTCTCTAGAGAACCAGCACCCTTCCCAAGCCCCCCATGTTAAGGGGCAAACAGGAGGGTGAGAGGAGAACAAAGGGGGTTTGAGAACCCATAAGGTAAAGGTAAAGGTAAAGGTTTCCCCTTGACGTGAAGTCCAGTCATGCCTGACTCTCGGGGGCGGTGCTCATCTCCGTTTCCTGGCCGAAGGAGCCAGCGTTTGTCTGCAGACAGTCTCCGTGGTCATGGGGCCGGCATGACTAAACACCAAAGTGCACGGAATGCTGTTACCTGCTCACCGAAGTGGTTCCTTTTTCTCTACTTGCATTTGCATGCTTTCGAACTGCAAGGTTGGCAGGAGCTGGGACGGAGCAACGGGCACTCACCCCGTTGTGCAGATTCGAACCGGCGACGTTTTGATCTACCAGCCCAGCAGCACAGTAGTTTAAACCTCTGCGCCACCTGCAGTCCCTTTGAGAACCCATAGGACATTGCATATGGCAGCCTCTTGTCTCCCCAGCTACCAGCACGTCCCATTTTCATCCTTTCCAACCTCTCTTACAACCTTGTTGGGACCTCATAAGAGGACTTTTCCAGGGCAGCTGGAAGGGCATCGGGAGGAAAGATCCACCACTTGATGTCTGCCTTGGTGTGGCTCCATCTACAGGCATGGTGGGAATGTTCCATAGCTTCTGTCGGTGCCCCAGATGCCAGCTAGGGGCCATAGGGTCCCTCTCCAAGTCTGGAGCAGAAAATGGCCTAACTGCATCACAGCTCCTGTTCTCAGCTTAAGTGGAGCTTGATTTGCAGCAGCAGCATCTGAGCTAGAGAATTTGAGGCCACCAATGAAAGCAGCAGAGAGAAGTCAAACTGCTGTCCTGGAGGTACCACAAGGACATTTCTGCCTCCCTTATATGGGTCCCCCTCCCAAAGAAAGCTGTGTCTTTCTTTTCTTTTTTAAAATCTGACCATTTGAGTTCTTCTGAGCATGGACAGAGATTCTTTGCTTCAAAGGGATTTTTTTCATTTTTAAAGAAAGGCTTTCTTTTTGGAAAGAGAACTCCTCCTTTCCTGTTTAGATGTGCTTTTTAACCTGGTGTCTGGGGCCTCATTCTCAGCATGACACCAGAGCGCTAGACTGACTGGGATTTAACCCAGACTGTGAACACAATTGCTCAGCCGTGTGGTTCCAGTTCTCCTGCTTTACCCATATACGGGCTGGGGGCTCAACACAGGCAATCTCACTGAATGAGCCTTGCCAAATAGTGTGAGGGGAAGGGTGGGTACCTTGCCAATCAGGCTAACTCCAACTGGCATATAGTAAGAGTTACACTTGAAATTGTACTACAGGACACTTTTGTGGGCTCACACATGCCAAGAGAGCGCCTGTATGCACATGACTAGCAAGAATGGTTCAGCTGGATTTTTGCCTCCCTGTTGATCTTCATGCAGATATCACCAAACCAAGAGAATACTAGCTGATAACTGAAACCCAAATTCACAGACATAATCTGAAAGCAAAGTCTTCAAAGCAGAAAGCTGGAGAAAATAAGGAACACCCACCTTCCATAGAAGAGAATCTTGATACATTCCTCCTGGTAGGTTCCCCACTTGAGTCCCGATCCACATGTCAGAAGAGGGCAGAGCCATGCTTAAAAAAGAAAAAAGATCAAAGATAAGTGCCAGTAAACGTTAAATTCTGCAACCTCAACATACATCACGCGAGTTTACCAAATGTGTGCATTATTTTGCATAATTCACCTTGCAAAAGAGTCCTAGAGCAGAACAAAAAACTATGAGGAGCACTAAAGCTCAAGCTCTGAACATTTGCCCTTTCCCTGAAATTTTGGGATTTTGCCAGGCATTTCACTCATTGCTTCCAAATCTATTATGTCAAGGGCTACAAACGTCTCTTTTCCAGTCAAGAAGAAAGAAGACTCTTGGTGGCAAATGATTCTGCATTTCATGCTGAATTCTGGACTTATTATCCTGATAGGTTGCTGACTATCTGTTCAGAGTAACCACAAAAGAACATTATGTAACTTGGGCATGTTTTTGGGTAAAGATAATTTCTGCCAATCCTTTCCCACATCTCTGGGGCTTTCCGGAGCTTTCTAGAACTGACATCTTCAGTAATTTCCCACTTCAGCTGGGAGAAGGGCTTTTGAAAAAGCAACACAGTCACAACTGCCTCAAGAGCTGAGCCTGTGGACCAAGCAGGTGGAGCTCAATCACGTCAGAAAAACACCCTTCACAAACTGATCTCCCTACAATTGCGTTAGCAGATTCTTGATAAGCATGCATTGCATTTCCAAGCTACCAGCTTCATTCCAAACATGGGTTGTGACTCCTCAGGACGCTGTTTGGAATGTAGTTACAGATGCCATCAAGGTGTGTTCTCTGTGGTGTATCCCACTAGAATGGATTGTATCTATAAGGTAATAATAGGGATGAACAATTATGTCAATGTTGCTTTCTTCCAGTTTCTCATTTTTCCAAACTTATGTTTGCTTCTTCTCAGACTCTGAGGATGCTTCCACTTTTAAGTTTGGGTTGTCCCAAAGTTCTGCAGTTCTTTTCCAATGAATACAGACAAGTTTTTCTGAACCGAATGCATCAGCTTTTTGGGATACAATTTTATATAATGTAGATATTTTTGCAAGCGATTTTCTAAACACAGTGCCTTTTAATGCTATCATCATGAATAGATGCATTATGTATGTATGGAATACAACAAGATCTAGTTAAGATTTTGTCGGCTGTATTTTGAACCATTTCGATTTGGCACTGTAAGTTCTAAGACCCTTCTGCGAGCAGTCAGTTTGATTGGGCTGCCTCAACAGTCTTGTCTGCATCTTCACAAGTCCTATCAACTCAAAACTTCCTCTTACTCCTGTCTTGCATGTTTCCACAAGTGGCAGTACTCTACCTGCAGCTGTTTAGTATACTTGAGAACAGCAGTGCCTTCAAGGCAAATTGCTCTTGGCTGCTTCTTTCCCTTTGATCCTTGCTATCTCACTTGGCAAAAAAGGAGCTTTAAATTAGTCTCTGGAATGCAAATGTTATGTGGTTGGATGTACACATGCAGTGAAATGGAGTGGTAGAATAGATAGCACCATTTCAGCATCACTTTGTTTAAATACTTACATAGGAAGCTGCTTTATACAGGTTACAAATGGAGAGAGACTTTTATTCAGTCCTCCTTTTTCTATAAACCTATCTAATTTCACTCTTAAAATGATATACAACTGAATTTGTATACGACTCGGTTACCCCTTGACACTGAAAGGTTGGGATATTTCAATTCGGTTCTGGAATGCATGGAATAAAAATGAGGATATTAAAGGAAAGAGCATGCAACTAGGCATATATTAATGAAAATAGTGTTCAGTGTGCTCTGTTAGGAAAATCCCTTGCAAACATTTGCATGTTTAGGCAAACTTGTGTACAAAAATGCCTATGATAGGAGAAACGTGTGCAAAAAGATGTATTCCTGTGTCCCCCAAGGCATTTTTTATTTTTCATCTCACAGTTCTGGATGAACTGGTTGAAAACATGAGCAACTGAAAAAGAAAAAAGAAAAAAAAAAAACAGGAATGGAAAGATTGGTTCATCCCTAGACCCAGACAGACCATTTGTTTGGGCACTGAACGACCTGGCAGAGGTCTCTGTTTCTCAGGCAGAAAACAGTCTTGCCTGTGACCTGATCATCGTCTTTCTTTTCCCTTTTTACAACACGAGATGCCAGAAATCGAAACTGAAATCTCTGCATGCAAGGTAGTGTCCTGCAGCTGAGCTAGAGTCCTGCATAGAAATGCACACCTTAAAAACCTGTTGTAAGTTAAAACAGACAAATGTGCATATATACAATGTGATGTGGCCAAGAAGAAGGCTGGCCTGGAACTTTTATCCCTGATGACAGAGGTGGTGCTGCGCAATGGACCATCAAGGATGGAGCCTTGCATTTTTCCCTTGGAACCCTGAACCTCTGGGAGGTCATCTGACCCACCACCTGATGCCCATGGGCACTTTTTGAAAGCACCCAGGATGCCTCTGTGTGCCTTGATTAGCTGGTTTTTTGCCCACATGTACTTTGCCTCCTGCTCCTTCCCAATCCTTCTGTCCAAGGCTTTCTCCACAAAAAAACAAAGGCTCCCTCTCTTCCCCATCCATGCCTCCCTTTGGACAAACAGGGGTGTCCTCAGGGGACAGGGCCCTTTCAAGACACACAGAGATGCAGATTTTGGAGCTTACTTTAATTAGAATTTGCAGATTTGTGCTTTTTTGGGGGGGTGGGGATCCTATGATGTAAAGCCCCAGACATCTTGGTACCTGGCACTGCATGATGAACTTTCAAAGTTTAAAGTTTAAATAATGGAGCATTCAAACATGGTTTCTTCCACCTACAGTGTGGAGTGGTGTAGTTCACTGGCACATTGAACTAGAGAACTTTACTCTTCTGATTAGCTGTTTCTCCCATTTTACTTCAGGCTAGGTGGGAGAAGCCAGTCCTCCTGCCTATGTCATAGAAGAGGACAGAAACTTTGCACCGTTCAAGAGCCTCATGAAGCCAGTGTCCTAGCAGAGCCACAAACTCCCTGGCTTGCAGCTCCAGAACATGCTGTCCCCAAAGAACCCATTCAAAATTTCTGCTTCTATTTTTGGGTGCTGAATTCTTTAAGAAACCTCTGTTCACACGCCTCTGCAAATCGAACCCTGGCTGGGGTCTAAAATGATTTGCTGAACTGGTGGGCGGGGGGGGGGGGGTGTCAAATAATACATTCTCGATACCAGTGCTTAAAATGAACAGAATGTCTAAGTTGGCAATGCTTCAACCGGCTGGACTCTTCCTGTGTTGGAGCTCTCCCTCTTTGTCTTTAACCTGGCCAGCCATTCAAAGAGGTGACATCTTCAGGACAGGATTATGCTTTGACCACTCTTCCGATCAAGGACTGTCCTCCATAAAGTAAGACCCATGTTTATCTGAGCAGTGGCCCATTTGTGGATGGGTCTCCCTAGAAAGGTTTGGCTCCATCAATCTCCATTAATGTCTTATTACTTGACAAAGACTTATATTTTTTCAGGTTTTAAGATGTTATTTTAGAGTCATTTCGCTATCATTTTATGGATATTAACTGTATGAGCCCCTGTGGGTTGGTGTGTTTTGCCCTTGAATGTGTCTTAACTCTGTGTTGAGGTTTTTGATTGATTTGTCTTCAGGATTTTAGTACTTTGTTGTGATTTTTATATGGATTGATTTTTTTCAATTTTATTTCTTATACCTTCCCTTGCTCCTCCTTTTCCCCGATTGCATGGAAATTGTGAAGCATTACCTAAGATACAAAGTGAATTATCTGATATAGAGCAGGTATTTATTTGGGATGGTATTTACTGGAATGGCAAAAGCTAAGAAAGGAATGATAAGCCAGCAGTTGGGGTTCTATTAATGGCTTTGTCACAGATTTCCTCTGTGACCGGAGGCAAGTTGTTTGACCGCTTTGTGCCTCAGTTTCCCTCTGCATACAATGCAATTAATAACACTTAACACCTACCTCACATGGGGTGTAGCAAGACTTAATGAGTGCTTGTAACATGCTTTAACATCCAAAGATGAAAGGTACTGGAACTGGGCAGGTTGTCATTACTGAAGGAGGGGCAAGCGAGGCAGGACTGTGGAACAACACCAAACCGCCTCTGAGTGAGCTGTTTAGGAATCAACGCAACCCACAGGCAAGGGCGACAACAGTGACATCTGCTGGGAATGGAGTCTGCCCATGCCTCTTTACCCTCAAATGAAACAAACAAACAGCAGGGTTTTTGATGGTTGTTCTGCGTGTACACATGAATGTGCCTACTGGCTTGCTCTTGTATGTGTATCCCAATACAAAATGTGCCTTTCTTCAGATCAAAGTCTGCTTTGGAAATGAAAAGGGAAGCCAAGTTTCCAGCCCTCAGTGAGGTAAGGAGAAAAATGAAAATGTCCCTTCTATTGAAGGTTCAGAAAGTGAAAGATGGGGGGAGTAGTTTCCCTCCCTTTATAAAAAAGAGCTTAATCCAAAGTTCTTTTTCTCAGTCACACTAGAAAGAGTATGTTACAGTCAAATCAGTAGCAATGTCCTGAGGTAAACGTTGAGCCATGCGAACATGACATTGCCCACAGTCAAGAGGAAGGCATCCTTGTATCTGAGGGATCTCAAAGGGTTGCAAAGGTACACAAAAAGCGTAAGTGGGAGAGAAGAACAAGAGCCCCAAATGTAACCCAACACGGATTGCATGGCTTAATGGTGATGAACAGCCGAGTTTCAGTCAGGGGCAAAATGGAAGCCGGCAGGGCAGGGGCATGAAATGGCATTTGCTAGAGAAAGGCTCAGCGAGCTGACTGGCGCCCTTAATGGATGCTGCGTTTTGTTGCACTTCCACTTGTAGAGAGGTGATCAAGGATCTGTTTTCACAATGGTTCCAGTGTGAAACTCAGGCTAAGAAGGCGATACAAGGGGAGGAAGGCAGGTGGCAGAACAAGCAGATCCTTGGAGGATAATTATTTTGATGGATCCCTTCCATTCCGTGTTTTTTTCCATGCAGCTAAGCTGTTTCAGGATTGCCAAAGTGTGAAGGGAAACAATGCTGGCCACCTCTGTTTTCCTCCCATCT